AGGCGGCTGCACTGGGAAAAGGAGGGGGAGGGGGTGGTAGAGGGGTATTCCCAACACGAATAAACCCTCTCACCCTCTCCCCCTCCCTTCCCTAACACATTCTCCTCTTACACAAGTTTCCCCAAAATGCGCAGTCGAGCAGGGGAGGGGGAGTGGTGGAGACCTCCGACCAACTAATATAAGTGATAGTTCTACCGCGTCTCAAACTGGGGGGTTATGTGGCACGCCCAATTTTTTGACTGATGAGTAAACAGATCAGTCATCAGTCAAGAGATTGCTCTCAACTTCAAAAGCAATCACCCTTCCAAACGTGCCCCCCCCACTTTTACAACAACCTTTTAGCTATGATACCCGAACGCATGGCGCAAGCCAAAAGTAGGCCAACTGCAAGTTGTTCCGCTTTGCTCTCCTAGTTGGTTCCCGAATATTTCAGTTCATTCCAGTGTTACAATTCCACCACATCATCGAGGCTATACTATTGCTTGTAGCATAAAATTAACTGCTATTAGTTTCGAAGGAGCATGTGGTCTTGCCGCTATGTCCGCTCTGCGAGTTTGGGCGGAGGTGACTTGATTGTCTACTGAGGCCTTTGGAGAGGGAGAGACATACAGTCTCGTTCGCTGCGGATGCTGGGGCGTGTCAGGGGGAGGGGGCTGGGTTTGGGAAGAATAGGCCGGCACGCTCCAAACCCACACGCGCCCAACGAGCAAGACTGTAGCCCGATCCATCTCCCCCTTCATTCCCATCCTCAAAACTGCACTCCGTATCCCGCGGACGCGGTGGGCGTGGCTGCGTACCTCATTCGAACATGGCGCACCGTGGGATATTTACTTTTGTGGCAACCTTCAGCCTGTGCTGGCCTGGCATGGCTGCACTGTTCCAAAACAGCGATATCCCATCAGAAGCGCTGAAGCCATCACGTTCAAATGAAGTATAGCGTAGTTCGCTGGGTACGGTTGGGCGTGTCATACGGGATGAGTTTGGCGCGGTGCCAAACTATGACTGTATCATATCGTTCGTATTACTCGTTTTCTACCACTTTTTGTCGCATGCGCGCTTCAACAAGAAGGCAGAGAACGGCTTCAACAGGGTGACACACTCATACTGCCTGACACGCCCCATTGAAAGATTGAAAGAAGTGAATTAGAGTGTATGTACGTAGCCGTCTCCACCTCTGAATATGGGATTGCTGGCGCTGTAAAATTACTTAGTGATAAGTTAACAACGTGCTAGAAGCTTTTTCCCCGCACCGTCTCAAATGCGGCATTGGTTTTATAGCCCGCGGAGTAAATTTATTTTATTCCAAAACTCGCGCAAAGGTTGCTGTTACGCAGCCTTTTCGGCGACATTTACGCATGTCCTGTAATTCGCTGATGACCCGGGATTGCACATGAAATTTATGGACTGAGGACACTTTCCCCAAAAACTTGAGTAGAACAGAATTTAGTTTAACACCTAGTGAAGAATTATCGATCATTCTTCTCCTGAATCGATTTCTTGCGGCGGCCTCAATGGGCTGAGAGACAGTGCGCCCGAACAGCGGAGGCTTTGCACTTTAGCCGACCAAGTCATTTCGTTGTTGTTCAGACAGCGTTTCTTCTCGTTACTGGTATTTCGAAATTTGTAAATTGTTATCTGTAGGTTTTTCTGCTACTCAAGCGTTAATACGCCATGATGAGCTCAAAAGTGTCTTCTGTTTGCCGCAGACGCTTGGTAATTGCCTAACTAGAGAGCCTTTCTCAGAATGACTGCCACATACAACTTTGGCAAAAAACTACCTTCTAAACTTTTACCATTATTATTAGTTTTTCTCATGATTATCACATAGATATTTTTGTGTCGTTGCGGCAGAAGTAGATTTTGAAAACTTCCAGAAGTAAGCCAAAGCGCGGGTTGGCTAAGAGGGGGCATCAAGGGGGTACCTTGTACAGAGGTGGGATCGCTGCCACCTAAACCTACGAAATAAGGCGCTATGGGATGGATGTGTCGATTTTCTGGAAAGGTCGCGCTGCGGTACTCCTAATTTCCCCTTGGGGCCCTTTGAATGTCTCTCTAAGCCGACATTCCCATGGGGTAGGTCTGAATATGCTGACTTCTTAATCATGTACTGTATCGCTACTGAGTTTGCTCCAATAACAAAACCGTTGCTCCACTTTAGACTATCGATCCTTCAAATAAGGCACCTTACACTGGAAAATCTCATCCTTTTTCTACTTCTCTTCTCTGTTTCTTTTCTTTGCAGATGACTGAATTGATCTTCCGTGTAGCTCTCGCAGGCACATTCCTCACAATATTCCTGTCAGTGCTAATGTAGGCGGAGAAACTGAGACTGCTGCGCTTTAATTGGTGCGCTCCTCTCGCGCGCTATGTGAGGACGGATCTATCAGCGATAAAGGCGCACTTGTTCAAGGTTTTATTCGCAGGCAATCGGAGAGGAAAAACCCCGGGATATGTGGGCAGAGAAGCCAGGTATGAGCGGGATAAAACTAGGGTTTGTGAATAAGTACGCCAAAAAATTATCCTGACAACCCAAAAGGCCTAAAAGAAGCCCAATGTTGTGAACAGGTCCCCATGGATTGCAGAGCGTAAATCTTGCCCTATTTCAAAAGAAGAACCTTTCGGATGGGACTACTCAACGCTATTAATGGTCCTTAACTCAATGAAGTGGTTCTAATAGCTGTTTTACTAAAAACCCGCCCATTACCGCCCTTCTAAGAGTCCCTTGGAAAAAAACAGACCGACATACTTTTGTGTATTTGCGCGAACTGAATATTCGACCGGAAATTTGACTCATCCTCGAAAAATACGCCTGATTTTCAAAATAAGTTTCCCTGGAAACAAATTTTCGCATCAGGCTTACTGTAGGCACGGAATTTGGGCGGAGGTGGGAGTGACGCATATCGCGTGTATTTTTGCGCGCAATCTGCTTTAATGCACTTTCGAGCGTGAGCGGCTCCGGGCTCTTTGATCAATCTTCTATTTTTTCGTATATTTTTCATGTTACCTCTCCTCTGTTTTAAAAATTAATTGTAGCCGTTGCTCCAATAGGGCTTCGTCACGCAATTCCGTCTGTGCACGCTTTGTGCGCGTTTAAGGAATGATGGGATATCTTTTCGTGCAAGTGTGTGTATTTTGTCGAAATGTTCGTTTTTGTTTGGTTCTGCGTAAGTGATTGCTTATCATTCTGTGTGATTATAATGACGTCTGCGGAAGTGGTGTCCACCGTTATCATCAGAAAATGTTTGTTGATGTTTGTTTATGATTACCAACTGGTAATTCAGGTAGAATGTTATCGGTGGCACAACGCGGTGTTAGGAGCTTGATAGCACAACGTGCTTTCGCCCTCTCAGCACCTGCTTGTGATGCTAAACGTGGGAATATTGCCAACTACAAGGTCGTCGACCACGCGTTCGATGCCGTTGTTGTTGGCGCAGGTAAACATGATAGAAAGCGTCTTACTCAGCAGCCTATGCAGTAATGTAATTGAACTTCATTTAAGGTGGTGCTGGCCTACGTGCTGCTATGGGTCTTTCCGAGGGTGGTTTGAAAACTGCTGTTATCACCAAGATCTTCCCCACTCGATCACATACCGTGGCCGCTCAAGGAGGAGTTAATGCAGCGCTAGGAAGTATGAACAAGGATGATTGGCGCTGGCACTTCTATGATACTGTTAAGGTTACTATTTTCTTTGCTAGGGATACGTCACCCATTGGGAAAAAAGAGAAAGTGATTTTTCGAAAGATTGGAAGAAAAAAGAGAAAATGACTTCCAGTAATTCTTTAGCACCAGAAGTAAAGTGAAAAACGAGAAAAGTAGTGAAATGGTGTTGCTTGTCAGGAGTTCTGGTGTAAAATACCGTAGAGAGATTTCAAGCTGTTTCTCAGAAGAGAGTTTACTCTTTTCCCGTGATATTCCTGCCGTCTCCGAGAGGTCATGTTTTGACAAAAACTGGTTTCATCCTGCCGCTAATCTGATATGATCGGACATTTTGCAAACCCTTGCACCTTGCCGAGCTATGAAGGGTTATGAGTTTATTTTTGTGTACCGGATGTAGTACAATGTAAGAAGGCAGGGATAATCCAGTGCTTAATATTGTAGTCTAAAGTCTGCCCTCTGATTCTCGAGTTCGACTCCTGCCGGGACACACACCATGCTTTGCAAAAATGATGACGATACTACCGTCAGGCCCAGGTTGACAGGCCGGCTGGTGGAGAACCCCGTCTCGAAAATCACCCCGTTACAATATTATGTCTTAAGGTTGCAACAGAAGTGGCGGCGTGTAAAAAGAACAGTGACCTTTCAACGGCGCGAGGGGGGTGGGGAGGTGGTCAACGCTGTGTAGTCGAAGAAGAAGTCGAACCTAAAGGGCTGTTCTCGACCAGAAGGAGATGAAAACAGGCGGACACTATTTTTGTGCGAATCCCACCAAAAGGTCGAATTAGGCCGCTGGAGGGTTGTCGGGTTTTGCATTGGAAGGGATTACCACATCAATTTTTTCCGTTTCACTCATGTTGTACACCCATGTTCCGATGTTAGCGCGGCGTAATGACTATTTCCATATAGTTGATCGGAAGGAGTCCGACCATTTTTTGGTGGCAAAATTTTATGGAAGGGATTGTGAGAGAGGGGGCGGGTCATACGAAACCCTCATTTTGGAAGGGTCCTTCTGAAACTAGTACAGTATCCTAATTTCTGTGATATAGCGGTGCCAAGAGAGGCCCAAAAATTTTCTTCTCTCTATGCTCCTTCGCTGACCTACCCACCATCTTCCTAAATTTCCCACCTACCCCTTTAACTACTTTTGCAGATTTTTTGAATTCTGCCCCCACCCCGTTCCCCTTTCCCAAAAAAACTGCTGTCGAGCGAGGGGGGTCGCCATCAATCACCACTGATTTCCTTTATCAGAAATGGTGGTTGATGGTGGTTCTCTGGCGCCGACACGTCGGCAACAAGAGGAGGGGAGTTACGTAGCGAAATTGAAGTGGGAGAAGTCGGAAAAGCCAACAACGGGAAGAAATTTCCTCAATTCTCGGGAATTTTTTTCTGAAAGGTGAGCAAAAACCTTGGTGGGATTCTCTATCCTGGTACTAGCACCGCCTTTTCACCTATTTCGGTAACGTAGGAGAATTCTCTTTCCCTTGGCTGAGAATCTTTCTCGGCACCTTTCAGCGCTAAATGTCGTTCAGCACAGGACGATCGTATGGCGTTAAACCGAAGCATACGACATTTCGTAGCTTTTCAGAACTTTGCAGGACTTCATCGAAATGTTCCGGTGTATGGGTAAACCTGTTTTACAGCTCAAACCTTGGGATAGCCACCATCATCGAAATGATTGCTTTCTGCCCGATGAACGGCCTTGTGCTCGACTTTTTGCGTATTGTTGCAGATGCGCTGTGATAGAATCCACCACCAGCAGCAGCGCTCGTGTTCTTTTTCTTTCCAACAGAGATTGATTCATGTATCGAGGCAACTGTCAGCGGAAACGGAAACATCTGCCAATGCGCTTTGCTGATAAGAACCCACAGAACTGTTCAACTTTTTATTTACACTTACAAGCGCTGACAGCTATTCCATTCTGGGATATAAGTTCCCAGTTTTGACCTGAATTTTCGCTGGCAGTAGTACAGCACAGTAAGTAGGCATTGATGCAGCATAAGTGCGCCGGTCCTATAGTATACCTCTTACAAGAGAATGGTTTGAACTTCCCATGGACCTTTGAATGGAGACCCACGTGCATCGATAGCTCGAATGCTGGTTAGGAATATGCAGATTAAAAGTGCTACGGGGACCATCCCAGACGAGATCTGGGTGGTCAAAGTTTGCAAAAAGCCAGTTTTGGCTCGCAAGCGCTGCTGATCGATGACTCTGCCAGCTACAGTTACACCTGGCAAGAGTTTACAGGTCTTACTATTGTCAAACGTGCTAGTTTAAGAGGAACTAGCGACTGTGCAGAATGCCCATCCCCTCCCCCTTCCTAAGCCGAACAGCCCCTCATTAATCTTTTAGACCACATGTTATCTCCCAGCTCTTAACTGGTAAAAAAAGCTTTGCTTCATCTGCGACCTATTTACTAGTGCAAGCGCTTAGTAGTTGGAGGGAGCCGTGCGGCGAGTAGACCGCGGCGACACTGGTCATCTGCGCTCTTCTAATTTCTTCTAATTAAGAAGAAATAGTTACATTAATGGAGGCAGGCTGGTGTAGTGGCAAGCGGCCCGGCTACCATGGTGCGGTCCAAGTTTATAGTCTCGGATCGGCTCCCGCCCAGGCCAACCAAGTCTTGCACCCTACAGGGACACTAAATCGGTCCCAGATTCGCATGGGAGGTTAGTAACCCATCGCTGACCTTCGCAAGTCTCTGTATAGGCCTTACCGCAGTCAGCTGGCCATTACATTTCTGAATGGAAGTAGAATGCTTGCCGCATCTTAAAAAGGGATTGGTGACCGGGGAAGACTATTCTAACCACTTGAATGAAAGACCAGATGGAAGATTCGGAAAGTCCGAGCGTGAGGGAAGTAAAGAATTATTACCTAGGTAAAAGGAAGATGCAAGCGACCACAGTGGCCTTTAACGTCCTTCCGTCTCCCAGTGAAATCCTAATAAATTGGATCACTGGAGGACTCAATCAATATTATTATTTTGCTTCTTTTTGGACTGAAATTGTTACACTTGAATTTGTGAGCATCCTTTATTTGTGTAATTAAATTTCACCTCCTTTTCAGGGATCTGATTGGTTGGGTGATCAGGATGCCATTCACTATATGACTAGAGAAGCATGTCGTGCAGTAATTGAACTAGAAAACTATGGTAATTTCTTCTATATGAATCTACTGCTTTTCAGTTTAGAGTTACAATGAAAGTTAAAAAGTCATCGTTAAGGAATGCCATTTTCTCGAACACCCGAAGGAAAGATTTATCAGCGTGCTTTCGGTGGTCAGTCAAACGACTTTGGTCGCGGTGGACAGGCCCATCGGTAAGCTTCAACCTAGAGGCTTTTGAATATAAAGAAGTACAGGCACCAGAAATTTTTTCTCATCGTTTTTTCATGAATTTAGATTTTCATATGATTTAGTACAACCTTCTCTTCAGGGTCGATGGGAGAAATATTTTCTTAAGGCCGTGTTCATACTTTTCGACTGAGGAGATTCCGCGATTGAAGAGATAGCTTGGCGAGAAAAGTGTAGGTTTCGATCTGACGATTTCGCCAGGACGCCATATCCGCCGCGTCTCTCGTATCGCCGGATCACTCGATCTCCGCAATCGCCTGATCGATACCTATACCTTCCTCGTCGCGCAATCCTCATATATCGCAGTCGCAAAGTATGAACGCGGCCTAACACATTTCCTTTCGTAGAACCGAAGCTTTATCCATCTCAGACTGTATCTTTTACAGAACCTGTGCTGTCGCCGACCGAACAGGACACTCTCTGCTTCATACACTTTATGGCGCTTCATTGCAATATAATTGCAACTATTTCGTGGAATATTTCGCTCTGGATCTCATAATGGATAAGGTAAGCGAGAATGGCAGAAGAAACACTTTCGGAACATGAGAGTTAGCACCCTTTATGGGTTTTGTATGGTTTGCCCCTGTCTTTTTGATAAACTGGTACGTAAATGGAGTTTTTTTCGTTCGGATTACTGGTCGGTAAAGCACGTCTTTGCGGCTAAGGACAGCCTTGGGTAAATAGCTCATATGCAGTACTGTGCAGTCTGTCCGCGTATCCATCATTGCAGTTTCATCATTTTTTCCCTCCTGGCCTCCTAGTTATCTGCTCAGATTGATTAGCGCTGGACCTGAAAACAAAAAGTGTGTGCTTGTACTTAGGTAATAGTTATTGACATAGGGTGCGGTGGGGAGCAAAGAACGCTCAATGTCTGTCCAGGGAGTTCCATAGGAAGAGATATTATTAATTTTTTTACTGCATATTTTTGCAGGGAGCCTGTGTTGGAGTAGTGGCGATGTGCTTGGAAGACGGAACAATTCATCGTTTCCGATCGAAGAATACTGTATTGGCTACGGGAGGATATGGTCGCACCTACTTTTCATGCACATCTGCTCATACCTGCACTGGTGATGGTAAGGATTGTATTATTACTGCAATATGGTGGATAGTCGAGACATGCTGCTGTGTAGCTGATCAATTCAAGACATGAATTGAGATGTGGGAATGGGATGGGAGAGTGTGATGTGGTTGAGATAGATGTACATTCGGTAGGCTATTGATTCGCGTGCACTTTGTTGATGGCACGTATGACACCGCCAGAAAACATACAGTTCTGAAGTACTTAAGAAGAAGAAGAATTGATTGACGTTGGCCGAATGATTTATGCTGTGAGAGTTCTTTCTGTGATATGCCGTGTGACACTCACAATAAGCAACAAGGGAGATGTGGTCGGTAAATAGGCTCAAAAACTTGGAACATTAAGGCGCTTTTCGCAAATAGTGGTGAAGTCCAACCCCTTCCGCAGAAGGTAACCTGGTCCCGCAACCGCTATCAAAACGCCCTTCTTGAAGCTGAATTCTGCGCCAGAAGTGCATTGCTGGTTTCTCACTCAGGTCCGTGAGGCTTAACCCCGCCCACCTGCCCATGTGTCATCTTGCTAAGGGAACCCTAGGCCTAACTGCGATAAAAATGATAGTCAGAGAAAGGAATGATCGCAGAGGCGAAAGTGGTGTTCTAGGAGAAAAGAGCTCATATGGTCATAATACCAGCAATCGGAAACTTAGCCGAACACGCACTCTCTTCGCCGTTTGCTCGAAACCAAAAGGGTTTCAGTGATGGTGTTTTCGACGATTTTTTCCGCTTTTTTTCTTCCCTATTAAGTCCCTGTGCTTTGCCTTTTGTACCCATGTTATCAGCGATGTGCGAGAGCAAAATGCGCCTTTAATTCCGCCTCTAGTATGCAAGATTCGGAGATGCAAAAATGTGGCCGGTGGCTGCAATAGGTCAAGATTGATGTCACTTGTTCTGAAGTGTTCTATGCAAGACATGTAGCGTGCAGTGTCCTATGAAGAGAGTACTGATACAGCTGCACCATCAAGCGGTTTAGGGGGAGTTTTTGTTCGAAACATCTGTGATAGTACATCTTGCATGAAGGTCAAAGATTTTTGAACACCTAAGGAGATCGTTCTTTAACCGTAGCTTTGAGGCAGTATTGCCAAGGGCCTAGGGGATTTGTATTGCGGAAAAGCTGGAAAACTGGTGACATTTCAATCAGAAAGGCTCGTAGTATTCTGATTATATTCCGAGGGGGACAGTTTGGACATTACTTCAGAGAATTGAATGAGCTTATTCCAGGTACTGCTATGACCGCTCGTGCTGGTATCAATAACACCGATATGGAATTCGTCCAGTTCCACCCTACCGGTATTTATGGTGCAGGATGTCTTATCACTGAGGGATCTCGAGGTTGTGTAGTTGTCTTGCTTAACTTGGTGTGGAGGGGGTGCTCTGCTTCATAGTGTTCCTGAAGTTCAGTTGACTCATCTCCTTTCCAGGAGAAGGAGGATATCTAGTGAACGCCAAAGGAGAACGATTTATGGAACGCTATGCACCAACAGCAAAGGATCTCGCGTCTCGTGATGTTGTATCTCGAGCAATGACTGTTGAAATATTGGAAGGTCGTGGTGTTGGACCTGAAAAAGACCACATTTTCCTCCAATTGCACCATTTGCCTGCTCAACAACTTCACGAAAGACTGCCAGGTTTGTGGGAATAGTAACAAGTACTTTAGTTTGCTCCACTGTACCAGCAACTGTTGGCGTCGTCGGCAAAATTAAGTGCGAAAATCGCTTTTAGGATTATTAGCCAACTCTGTGAAAAATGTATCAGCTAGAAAAATCTCGTGTGTGATGTGTTGCTTTTTTCGCATCCTCCGTTGTGCGAGTAATTGCATTTTTTCAGGTATCTCTGAAACTGCCATGATTTTTGCTAATGTGGATGTTACCAAAGAACCGATTCCCGTCATTCCTACTGTTCACTACTGTATGGGTGGAATTCCGACCAACTATAAGGGCCAGGTAGGGCTTGAATTGAATGTTGTAGAGTTTCTTCTTTGGATTCTGTGAGCCTCCCCAAAACGATATGGCCACTGTTTAGGTAATTACCCACACCAAGGATAAGGGAGATCAAGTTGTGCCAGGTTTGTATGCTGCTGGAGAGTGTTCAGCTCAATCCGTGCACGGCGCGAATCGTTTGGGTGCGAATTCACTGCTAGACATTGTGATCTTCGGAAGAGCTTGTGCGCTTACGTAAGTCTGTTGAACTTGAGTCATTACCGAATTGTTCTGATGTTTGTAAATGTTTAGAATTCTTGGCAACACCAAGCCAGGAGTTGGAGTTCCCGATCTGCCGAAGGATGCCGGAGAGGCTTCTGTTGATAACATCGATACCCTTATGCATAGAAAGGTAGGACAAATGTTGGCATTATTTGCTCGCTGGACAAGAGTAATTTCATAAAAGCAAGCGGTATACAGTGGGCCCGAAAACTGCGCGTAAAGTCAAATGTATCTCGTCTCCATGGATACACTCAATACATACCGTGAGCAGAGCCTCGGGGTGATGACAGGAAGTGAAAACGCTAATTTCAATTTTCACCTGGCCAGGGGCTGCCTATTCGGCGTACTCCCTGCTCCTACGCACTAAGTTTCATGCGCCGTGTGGGGTACTGTATCCCGTCTGTTTTCCTGAACTTATAATTTAGTTCTTACTGGTTTGCTAATTAATAATGCGTTCAGGATGGTCCATCTACTGCCAAGGTTCGCTTGAATATGCAAAAGACCATGCAGAAACACGCTGCTGTGTTCAGGCGAGGCGATATCCTTCAGGTAAGTGATTTTCAGTACTAGAAGACACCACCCATTACGATGGTAATGGTGGGTTTTTCAGGAGGGCATCAAGAAAGTAGAGGACATCTACAAGAACTACCATAATCTTCATGTCACCGATACCAGTCTCATTTGGAACAGCGACCTCATCGAAACACTAGAGCTCCAAAATCTTCTCATCAATGCCATGCAAACGATCGTTGCCGCCGAAGCCCGAAAGGTAAGTAGTAGTAGTAGTAGCAGTTCATGTTGGTCATCGTTCATTCAGTGCGGGCTTTGTGTACGAGTTCTAATAGTGTTTGAGAAGTTATACCCAAATTGTAATTGGTATAATAACAGGAATCCCGTGGTGCGCATGCACGTGATGACTTCCCGACGCGTCTCGATGAGTACGACTACAGCAAGCCGGTTGAGGGACAGAAGAAGAAGGCGATGGAGGTACGTTCTCAAAGGGTTACATGAGCCTTCACTTAAAGACACATTCTACGATTACAAGTCGGGTTCAGCGTGGTCCTAATAGGAACATCCCTTCGATGTGGGGCGTGTATTTAAGACGTTTTGGTGCTCCTAATTCTCAACCAGGGCGTTTTGTAATGAACACTTATTAAAATCTGATAGTATGCCGACTAGTAATTCCGACGAGTAGTTCTACCTTTATGACGCGCGTATGGCGTCCTTTGAGGTGAAAGGTCTGCGACTGCGGACAGGGTCACTGGTACCACGAGTACTCCTGCTAGTTAGGTAGTCGTGTTTTGTTTTATTTCCGAGTAGATGATTTTTTTCATTTTTAGGAGCACTGGCGTAAACACACGATGATCACCTCAAACATTCAAACTGGAAAAGTGACGCTCAGTTATCGTCCGGTTATCGATACCACGTTGGATAAGAGCGAAACTGACTGGATTCCGCCAAAGATCCGTTCATATTAAGGCGCAATGTCAGTTTGTTATCGCTTCAGTGTGGTTTTTAGCTTAATGATTCCATTTTCCAGTAGAATTAAGTTTTCCTGTTTACAAAGCAGTTATGCTATGGTTTTGTTACTGAAGTGGTTCTCTCGTGCTAGTTAGCCTGACGATGTACATTGTAAACGGTAGTAGTTAATTAGGTTGTTCATAGTTTTTGTTAAATATTTATGTAGTCTGTGCCGATGCGAGTAAATTACAATCCGGTTAAATGAAATTTGTGTTTGTCAAGAAAAGCATAAGATTTTTGAGTGGTGTTGTTACCAAAGTACTTGGAAGTTGGCTGATCCAGCAAGCAGTTTCTAAATTGGGATCAGTGAACAATAGCGCTTCTCTGGCGAAGATTGGAGCACTTTTACGCTCAGGGATATGGAGGAAGCCATTGTGAGAGCCGTGGAAGCATGTCAAAAGGGCAGCTTGGAAGCGCTGGAAGTTAGTTTGGAAGAAGGCGTTGTTCCTGATGCTTGTGATGTTGACGGTTGCTCGCTACTGCATTGGGCTGCTATAAACAATCGTGTTCCGATCGTAAAAAGGTGCATACTTTATAAACCCTTTTTTATGGTGAGTGAGTTACATTCCATATCGCGGGGTGGGGAGGGCGTGGCAGCGAACTTCGTTTCAACGCGTCGTGGACACTGTTTTTGCAGTGCATTTTCATGTGAGACAGCGGCCATCCTACCTTGTGATGGAATATAGACAGACAAAGGTTCGATTATAGATGTACCAAAATATCTAACCAATAGCGCAGTCGTCACCACTCAAATGAAGTGCCCAGCCACGCCCTCCCCATGTCGAAGATAGTGGGTGTATTTCGCTGCCTGAATTCGTTTACTTTCCAAAGCTAGACTTTGTCATCGTAGTGACTATGGGGTTATAGCCCTCTAGCCCTCTCGCCTCTTCTTTCCCACTGTTCGAGTTTTGGTCTGCGTTTTATGGGGATTTGACCTGAAGGTTGACTTGGCGGCATTTTCTTTTTGGGTGCTCACCGTAGACTGTTCATGCATCGGCAAGGATGCGTCCTAGTAGACGAAAAATTACTGCACGCTATGAGGGCTCCCTCTCCGCACCCCCTCCCACCAACTTTAGTTCCTGTCCATAGGCGTTTTAAAGTTCATTTTTATGGAACAGCAAGCCTAAACATGTCATATTTACGAAAGTTCTTGTACTGGCCACCACCAACTTTCACGCATATTTCCATCGAATTGCTGGGGCAGTGGAGGTGGTTAAATTGAAACTTCCAAATTTTCAAAGTTGGTTTATTTTTCAAAGTTAGCAAAATTTTCATGTCTTTTGCTCCTCCACAAACTCCGAACCAAAAAAGTCTGGTAGATTCAGTGCTGAGCTACTCGAGGCGCTTTATCCGAAAATATACATCACTCTTTCTGGTAGATAATAACGGAGCTCATGCTTCTGTTTGCAGTGCACATCAACTGCTTGCACTGCTCACAGTAGTCCCGCTTAGCTAATAAACTAGTCGTCTTCCCCGTCGCGGAATTCATGGAAAAAGTATTTAATCCGCTTGACTGGGTAGCAACCTTTTTCTGCCTTCCTGATAAGGAATTGCTGCGTCGAAATTCTTGTCCTCTTGACGCCTTTTTCAGGGTTCTGATTTGTAAGATTCATGTCCACCCTCTTAGCAGTTAATCTTTTCAGGAACTGCTTACTTTTGAGCGAAGGGTCCGAACGGTTTCATGTTCAGGGTCCGAAAGGATTTACCCTTGCTACTTTTTTGACTACGCTCGCACTTCCGATTACGAATAGCGCAAAAACTCTATGAAGCATTTATGCACACTATAAGTGCATTGCATCTGTAAAAAGCTCGCTGAGGTGGATGAAGTTATAATTCGGCAATGTTTTCCATGAATGCTCTGATAAATGGGCGGAGTCGTCGGGGGCGGAGTCATGTGTGTCATTATAAGAAAGCCCATACAGCAGTGTCTGTGTGTGATAAGTGAACTTAAAAGAAACTAGTGTAATTGGAATTTTATAGATTACAAACGCGTAAAGTACGTAAAATTTGACCTAATGTTACCTTAGTTCGAAATAATGGGGCCAGCAAAAGATAAATAGTGCTACTATTCAAAACAGTCCAAAGCGCCTACGTTCGTGCGAGAATTGCCCTTTACAGCCAAAGTGAAATGAGTGAACGAGTTAACCTCAAATTTCTTTCGAAGACTGTTTATTTCCTCAGTTATATTATCACTGCAGGCTTCTCGAGCTGGGAGCAAATCCAAATATTGTTGGAGGTCTACTAGTATCATCGCCGTTGCACTGGGCCGCTCGTGTTGGGCATGTTTCGAGCTCTGCATTGCTTATCAAAGTATGTTCATGCTTTCTCCTTCGCACAGACTGAGCTACTTCAATGTCATATCCCAACTTGAGTTACTATGGACGTTCTACTTGAAGCGAATCCTTGAGTCTGTCCATCTTGTTATAGTCATTGATCTTTTTGGTCAATTTTCCAGTCGAGGGCGATTTAGAGCCTGGAGAAAGTTTTACGATCGATTTCCTTTCTCACTTTGTAGGGGAACTGTTTCAGCTTTAATTGGAAAATTTACCTTTTTGTACTTTGTTTTAGGCAGGTGCTGTTTGCAATGTACGTGATACACAAGGATATACACCAATTCATTTGGCTGTGCAGAGCAATCAGCCCACTCTTGTAGCATATTTGTTGGAGAAGTTCGATTATTGCAAGGATATCACCGACAACAGTGGTATGTTGTTTGGTGTCTTTGTTTATTCCACACTCAATATCCCGGAATGAGAGAGGGCGTTTAAACACACTTTGTTTGGTATGGCGGCAGCTACGGTTTTGGTGGGATCTTGCCGTTTAGGAACAATTGTAATCATGCGCGAAAGTTGCCTTAATTTCAGAAATATTCCGAAAAAAGCGACATATTCACAAGAAATACGCTGCAATGCTCTATCTCAGAGATATGCACTGTATTCCTTGACTTTTTATATTGTGCTGTCCCAGAGCCTTATAAGTATAAGGAACACTGTAAATAACACCAAAACCCCTTGCGCAAAAACTCAAAAGTCTTGAATGGAACACAAAAGTCAATGGTACCTGTCCGATTATTACAGGTATGAGGGTTTGACATGTTAATTTCTGGGGTCTGAAGTTTTATAGCTATAGGTTCGCTACGGACGCCTGGGCGAGTCAGGCGGGATGAGTTTGGCGCGGTGCCAAACCCGTTGTCACCAGTTGTTAAAGCGAGCAAATGATATGACTGTATCATATCGTTCGTATTACTCGTTTTCTACCACTTTTTGTCGCATGCGCGCTTCAACAAGAAGGCAGAGAACGGCTTTGACGGGGTGACACACTCATACTGCCTGACACGCCCGAGCCCAATCGTGCGCAGCGAACTAGAGTGTAATGCTTTCACGACATATCCAGGCAGACGGTGGGTCGGCTGTAGTTAAAATGATGACCACAACCCTAAAAATTTCTGCTGTGGCTCTTCCAAAGTGAAAATAGTAGTCAGGCGTCTAGTAGTAGCATTCATTGAGTGGTTTTCTCGGCTTAAAGGTGGCATAGCACCTGTCATGTCAACTCACTTGTTAAAAAGTGTCGAGTGCATAGCAAATACATGAACAGCTAAGCTAACCGGCGGAGCGTTTTGTAGTGATCTGGGAACAGGTCAGCGAGCAGGACATTACGAGAAATGGTTTCAGTTATAAGGTTTAGGGTGCGATGGGCTCGCATAAATTGACACATATGTATGCACAGCTCGTAAAATAGCCGGGATTTTTTGACAAATCTTGCTACCAATGCATACCCGTTCTCAGAGTGGCTGTTGTTTTAGGGATGACTCCGGCCATGTGGGCGGCTTATCGTACGTTTGGTATGTTTCCAATACGATTAATTGTACGAAGTGGAGCGGATTTGATAGTGGCCATGCATTTATCCGGTAACACAGCTCTTGCGATATTGGCCACGTCAATAGCCGGAATTATAACGGTGTTCGGTAATTTTTAGACAGATTTCATCATTGATGGGTTTGCTGAGCCGTGTGTAGATACTGTGCTCTAGAGTCTTTTTTTATTTCTAGAGAACTGTTACTGGGATTTGCTGATGTCTCACTGCGTAACAAGCAACAAGAAACGCCACTCGATATTGCAAGGAACATGCGAAATCAGAAGCTTATTGGTGGGTAAAAAATCAATTTTAGGAATATTTTTGAATGTTTTGGACGGTATCTTTTACTGGAAGGTCTTCCGGTAATTGCGCATTGCGCTGTATTACCTATCTTGTCATAACAATATGATCGAAGGGGCGTGTAAAAACGCGAAGGCTGGTGCCTCGCTCGTGTGTATGATTGCCGTGGAAGAAGATTAAACACTATGGAGGATTCTTCTTGCCTGGTTAGTGCCTTTATTACTCACATGGCTATGAACATTTGGCGAAAGCAGCGCTCAGAATTCTCAATAAAGTGCGTCGCCACCACAGTCTGGTATACCCCTCTTATCATTTTCACTATCGCTTAACAGTGGAAGGTGGCGACGACCTATACCGTACTGGGTATTTTAAGGCAGTTGGCACGAAAATCCTCCAACACGACTAGGATCAATACTCCTGGCAGGATAGAATTCCGCGACTCTGTGCAGGCGCTGCATAGCTGGTTCCCCGAGGAAGGTGCCTAAAGCCTAACCAGCGACACAGACTTTAGGTCCAAACGCCCTCCCCCCCCACCCCCACAAATGGACGACCGTGTTCATTCATTTGCTAAGCAAATTATGAAGCGAAGGGATTGGTATGAAGCGGCCGTGATGCTGCATGCATACATGGGTGCAAATATGTAGCCGTACCTACGGTAGCGGTGACTGGTTGGTAAGGTGCCAACGGGAAACTCGTCCAAAATCGACTTACAAGTCACTGAGAGAACGGAGGCTGTTTCTTCGCAGGGTTTTGACAGCGCCCTACTAGCATGTTAGGCTAGGTAGGAAACCATCGTGCCAAGTGCCTTTAAAGACAGCTCTCGCGAAAAAAGTTTCAAGAATAATTGCTGATCAATTATGAAACAGTAGCTGAAAAGTTATTGCTCAGTGAAGGAAAAAAGAAACAAGAGCTGTCAAGAATACATAAACAAAATCGCGACCTGACAGTCACACCTCCCTGCGGTCTCTGTGCAAGCCCTGGGCACCTCACTCTGTCAAATATCCCAGTAGTGGATATATGGCGGATCGAAAAAGAAAAAAAAACAACAGAAACGTGCTGTATGAGGAGTAACTCTCTGAAAGAAAAAGGAAACATTTAAAAAGCCGGCGTCCGAACTTAGGGTTACGGTAGCGAGCATGTTTTAGTGTAGTGAAGTGCGTCGAGCTTTTGCACCACAGAAATTGCATCATTCGTGATTTTTACGCGTTTTACCTTACGAGATGGGTTGCTGTTGACTGTACGTGCTCCCAATGAAAAATATGAAGGAAGCAGAATTATTTACGAGCACGAGCGCGGTCAGCAAAAAATACATGCAGTTCCGATTAATGACTGCCGTCCCAACAAGGAACAACTGAGCGGCTCTCCGTCAGAGGGCAGCTAGCTAGTGAGGCGGTCCAACTGAGGGCAGGCGTTAGAACTAGAACTTTGAGCGGTTCTAGCTAGCTTCTCGCTCGCTGAGGAGTCGCGAGAGTGAGGCAGTATCTAGCTTGGGGGCTGAACTACCTGCTTAAGGGAAGGACGACCATGTACTACCCATTGACGCAGGGACTGGTCTTCAAACAGCGTATACGCTCACATACATTGAGGGGTATGAGACTGATCTATGTCACCCCAGCTGTCGATGTTGTGCGTGGTCCCGCCGCGCGAAACGATGCCGAGGAATGGGATACAGGACAAGTGAAACACGCTTAGATTTCTCATCTCCGTCTTACACCTTTTTCTGAGGCCGCGCAGATTCCCGTTCCTTCATAACATCTTCCGTTGGCACTTTGCCAAGTCCTTTAATTGCGCTTTCAAATACAAGTAAAACGCAATTTCCTGATGCGGATAACATTGGAGGTGCTGCAAAATAAGAACAGAAGATGATGACGAGGGTCAGAACTTAAAAGCAACTGTGCCACTTCTGCAACATCCCTCGGAGGCCGCGTATTTCACGAAACATGAAAATAAAAACGGCATACTCGTTAGTTTGATATACAAACGCAATTTCCTGATGCGAATAAAATTTAAGGTGTTGCTCATGCTTCAAAATCCATGTACAAGGAGATGAAGATGACACAGGCTAGAAATGAATGTAAATGACACAACGATGTAAATGTAAATAAAACAAAAATGAAAAAATCAAGGAAAGGCAAATTAGTTGAAATCGCCTGTAAATTTCTACGATCCGGCGCGAATCCGGCGCCAAAGCCATAGAAATACTTAGAACAAACGAGTGGACGCCTGGGTTGTTTTTATTCTCATGTTTTGTGGAATGCGCGGCCCTTGATGGATACTGCAGATGCAGTCGAGTTGCTCTTATCAGTTCTTTGGCCCCGTTATCATCAATCATCTTCTCTATATTGTTACACTTCCAATGTTATCCCCATCCAAGAAATGGTTTTTACTTAAATTTAAGCGCAATTAAGGACGGCAAATCGACAAGAGACACGGCGCGCTTACGACCGCGCGACACGGGCCGTTACGACGGATGTGATATGAGGGGAACAGGATCTGCGCCGCATAGAAGGTGTAAGGCGGAGCATATAGGAATTAGCGTGTTTCACGGTCCTGTATCTCCATTCCTGGGCATGTTTGGGCGGGGGGACCACGACACATCGACAGCTGGGGGGCTGATAGTCTCATACACCCTCAAGTGTTTGAGCGTACCATGTGTCTTTAAGCAGTTTTCTTCCTTCTCCTTCTCTCCTGTTATCTTGACTCTCGCAAAACGGACGACCGGCGCTAATCGATATTCGATCGATGTCGATTGTGTTTCATCTATAGCACTGGTGCCCTATGGCGTGCTGCTTGACGCGCTGTACGCGGAGAAGTTGAATGCTGGCCGTGGTGCGATATCTGACGCTGTAGTCATGACGTGGCGGTTCTGCAGACGGACGTGGATTTCCTAGCGGGGTAGTCTCGTTGATACAAATGGTAGTCCTACTCAGTTCTGGGCATGCCTGTCAGTATGAGGCAGGTTACAGCTGAAGAATATAGTCATACCTGCGTGGGCTATCCAGGTGTGAGCCAAGACAATCGTAATATGCCGCGCTGGTGGACGTGACGAGCCTGCCGAACGAGTTATCCTGTCTGCTCCTTCGGATTTGAGTGTTGAAGGTACCGGAAAATTTGATATTGCACTTCACCGAGCTTTGTCTCCGCTTAAATTCCTACGAGTTTTGCTGGCCAAATTAGACATTGATGGTTATCAGGAATTCGCCGCACGTCGTCGAATAAACGCCGCGCACGACAACGCGCCAAATTACGATTGCCTTGTCGGTGTTCCACTGCTGCGTCTTCATGACGTTTCTCCTGTCGTTGCACCTCTGCCCTCTTTCGTTTGCACCTTCACAACTATCCCACCCATACCCCTCGCTGACTTTGTAGACAGGCTCTGTATCTTGGGGTGTCGCATACCTTTTAAGCTTCATCTGATCAGAGAACCATGAAATGTCTACAAAGTCCGTCTCTGTTTCTGACAGTAATTGTTTTCAGGTTTCTTACTAGGCGTAACGGCTCTTCTCTTTTTCTTCTTACACTACGGTATCGCTGCCTTTATACTACTCACGGCGATCGTTGTTTCTCAGTGTTTCATCCGATTTGACGTATATTCAGCCACGTCAAGCTTAATTCCAATTGGAATCTGTGTTGCCGAGCCCGTATGCATGATAATCACATGGTAATTTTCATTTGATCTCTTGTTTAACGAACAATTCGAGTAAGTGTACTAGGTTTTAGGTACTTTTACACAAATTTGTTTGTCTCATGGTGGCTTCAGATCATATTCGTCATAACCATGGTCATCTTGTTTGGTTCATTACTCAGGTAATAGTCGTAGCAGACACAATTTTTTGAACCTGTTAACAATTTTTTAAACCTGTTATTGTTTGATAACAATTTTTTGTAATATTGCCGATATTCATCAATTCGTGCGAAGTCGAGGGCACCGAAAAAGCACTGTGCAGGGGGGTCTGCGGGGGGGGGTGGGTTGGGGAACGGCCGGTCCCACTACCATGTAGGACGTAGACCGAGAAAGATCCCCCCTTCCTCCTCCCTTTAGCCGTTTACGATCTTCGTCGCAATGCGCCAAGTATACGTTTTGACCTCCACAGCTTTTACGTTGCGGATGCTACGCATTGCAAGCGATGTATTGTCGCGGAAACTACCTGTGGCTTGTGCTCATCGTCCCCAATGGCACACTCCACATCTCTGAGACGCGGTAGGCGTGACTGCGTATTACCCCAAGAACGTGGCGTAGGATCCGAAGGATGTTTAAAGCTGAGACAACCATCAATGTCCTGTGTTGGACGAATACATGCTCACGATTGTTCCAAAACGAAAATATTCCGCAAAGAGCGCGCCAGCGACCAAAATGAAATAAGTAAGCACGTCTACACGCATCTCAAGGAACTGGAGTACATTCTAGATGGGTTTTTGTGTGCACTCGACCCGCATAATTCCTTATCTCTTAATTAACTTTCTCTCCATGTTTAGAGTTGTGTTCAAGGATCCCGGTGTCATTCCTCGCAATTACGAAACACACACTGATTTTGTGGAAGCTGTTGAAAATTGCGAACGTGTGAATTACTGTTTTACTTGTTGGGTGGATAAACCTCAAGGAGCAAAGCATTGTAGTGTATGTGATCGGTAAGTCGTCATGTCTTTCCCGTTTCTCACTACCTTTGAGAATTACTTTCTTGATAGCTGATTTTGGGTTCAGAATGATTAGGTGTTCTTGAGTTCCATAGCTGAACAATCACTTCGGAATGCGTAAGCTTGGCTCTTGTTCAGAGTTGTTCACTGGTAAGCGGGGTTTGTAACGGGGAAAGGGGGATGGTCGAGAACGCGCTGGCGCCTACTGAACCCAGCCACCCTGGCACGGCCCGTGTCTGCAGGGAAAACTGGGTGGGTGTCTTCAGACTTGTTCTCGAATGGAATGTACCTCTATTTGTTTGCTATTGAGAACAGCAACACTTTCTTTTCTCCAAAAAAAGGGCACCAGTTTAATTCCTGTGGACGTTTCAGTGGTGATGAATAACGTACAAATTATATACAATTTTTTTCGGATATTTCAGATGTGTGAAAGATTTCGATCATCATTGCCCATGGCTACATCAGTGCATAACTTCCCGAAATCTGCGATTATTTTTGGTTTTCGTTGCTTGTGTAGCCGTTTCAGCTGGGATCTACACTTGTGCATGTGTCCTGTTTATTATCAGCGAGTACCATCGAATGGACTTAGGTGAGAGAATTTTTTGTGTTTGCGGTAACTTTGTGTTTGTATTGGTTTAATGACACGGTGCGCGAACTGGAGAGCAGGACAATTTTTGACTGCGGTCGGAAAAGTGCAATATTACAGATATACGGCACAACCACGCCACACGCTATACGGTCAGCCCTGAGTGAGAGGGGGCAGACAAGCAGCTATTCGAATCTGCGCGGAGATGGGCCTAGAGTTTTGTGATAGCTTAACGCTTGTTCACCTTCTTTTCGACACGCAACACGCACACCGCAACGCCACCACACGCCACACGGCCAGCCATACCCGAGAGGGTACAGCCAAGTAGAGCGTCTAGCTTTGGTCGGACGAAAAGCATGCCAGCGTATGGTATTTGTATCGCGTGGCGTGTCGGAGACGTAAGGAACTCAAAACGTTTACAGGCCTCTAGTTTCACCGTGCACTTTCGATCGGCTAAAGCACTGCACCTTACTTTGGGGGACCTGCCCAAATAGCACATACAAAAAATCCTCCCCTCAATTGTTCACACAGTGGGTCTTTGAGTCCAGTTCCTCTCTCAAGGCTAACCTTTTTTGTCGGATGTTAAAGGTATGTATGGAGTGAAACTTCTAGTATGCAGTGGACTAATTTCTTCCATTCCTTATTACTGAGCATTAATAACCACACTTTTGTCCTTTCTTCTGTTCTCAAAACAAAGTGGCTCGCCAAGCTAGGTCTTCTGCTTGGTTTTGTGTGAGGAATGAATAAATTAACGAATTTCGCTGTTGAGCTGTACTTTCAGGAAGTCTTCCGAGTAGTTTATTCGTCAGCAAAATCATACGAGGGTCCTCTAAAAGCTACAAAAAGTTTTCATTGTTACCGTAAGGCCAACATCCCACGTGATTTGAAGGCGGTGGATACTGTCGCTCTGTTGCTGGAGGCGGGCTGTTGTTGGCAGCGTGATTGGTGGAAGGGCTGCGAGAGGCGTTTGGACACATCCCGCTCAGCTTTTTCACCAGTGATGTTTGCGGCAACCGCCCGCTCACCGCAGTCGCGCCCTTCGCTTTTATTGGATGGATACACGGTATTTTTTGGCTGAGAGTACAAAAAGTTTTCTACAGAAAACCCGTTGCTGAAATATTGCGTCAGTAAATTTGGCCATGACAGCTTTGGACGGTGTAAAATGTTTCTTTTTATAAAAGGTATCGAAAAACTGTGCTTCTGCGCTAGTAGATTTCTCATAATGCGATATTATAGATGGAGTGCTCAAACATCACAGTTGGTTGTTGTTCACGTTGGTCGTCGCCTTTTTCCACATGATTATGTTGTCCGCGCTATTCTTCAACCAGTGTCTACAAGTGAGTTCGTTTTTGTTCTAGTTTTCGTTTTCAAGGTTCGAAAACGATTTTTTTCTCACCCGTATCGAGATCTTTAGAAAGGTAAGAGTGCTATGTGCTTCCGGAGAGGCCACTCTCCAGCGAGGATTAGCCGCGCCAGTTATGACACGCCCTTGGTTACTCTCAATTTGTGCTTTTTGAGGTATAGCCAAGTTTGACATTCATTCTATCTCTGGCGCACTTTGTTTCGTCGAGCCGCGCTGTTACATGAGACTGAGATCTTCTGATTCGGCTATTATTAAGTTGAGACCTGAATCCTCTATCTGCTCAATTTCTTTGGCTAAGTCTTTCCTTTCCGACTTAGACTTGCAGTTTTTGAATCCTCTCTGGTCTTTGCGTAGGCCATTTTTCACATGGATTGGGCCACTTTGTAGCAGTGCGATTGTTGACCTGCACTTCTCATATTGCTCCTCATCTATCTTCGAAAAATCTGTTTTCGAAGTGTACTCTTTATAACGGAGTACTAAATTTTTGAGTGTCTGAGCACTCCATATTGGCGTCTTATAGAATTGTAGCGCCATTATTTTATCTGCAATTTGTTGTGTATTTCCTTTTTGGAATACTAAATAAGCTAAATTAATAGCTGGTTTGCTCCAGGTACTCGGTACGGGAGACTTATGAATCAACTGATTCGTGGTCTTGAATATGACCAAATATGAATTTGCTCAAAGAGCTTGTCTCTTCTCCTGGCCCCAAAGTTGTTACGCTTTGACGCGAAGAGTGGTGGTTTATTTAGGCCGATGCACCAGACTTTTGTGGTTTCTATGAGACTTAGGGTGAACTCTTTTACGCCGATGACTCGGGGTCTCAGTGGAATATTCGTGAGAGAGAGAGAGAGCGAGAGAAGAGTGAGCACAAGACTTTATCTAGTGAGCAGAAAACGAAGAGTGCTAACTGTATGATTACGAACGTATGGGTTGCTACAACTGTATGCCCAGCCCCCGACAGTTGGGGTCGACGGGGCATCATCGGCGACGATGATAATATCTCATCAAAAGCGCTACTGTTGCCACTTTCAGATGAAATAGGTGGCCACATCCTATTTGTATACGGGGCATAGAGGGTAGGCGATTTGGGAGTGGTACCACCGATACTACTTATTTTGCTGAGTGGATATCTTTCGCTAGCCTATGGTTCGTTGAAATCTCGAAAACTAGAGTATCGACACCTAACTTGAGACGATTGTGTGATGAAGTGATACAAGAAGAGAACTGCAGAAGAGTTGAACAGTTTATACAGATCATTAGCAACGCAAGTGAGTTACGTGAGATCTGCTCAAGAGAGGCGGGAGCAAGTGAAGCGGTCGCTGCTCTGCCAGCGCTTCCCCTTTATAAGAGTCCTTTCAGCCAAATCGGCTTGCAGACCGCTTTAAGTGATCTCCTATGATTAATCAACATCGGCCAATTACAAAATCAAAATGACCTTCTGTTTAGCATGTAATAAGATAGACATATATGTACTTACATAACATAACGAATTCAGCATTTCAAAGCTTACAGTCGCTTTCGCAACATTACCCATTACAGCTGATTCAAAGCTAATGTTCAGATATCGGAAAAAGTGATGACAATCGATCGAATCCGAGGTCATCCTCGTCGTCATGCACGTTCACATGCGTATTCCCATTCACACCATTCGCAATCGCATTCGACAACAGATGAGTCAAGTTCGTCCCGATCATTCAGGGAAGGTATCACGATGTCGACGCGAGTGCGTAACATCCAAGAATTCTGTTGCAATTCACCCAACTGAAAGATCCAGAAGAGTAGGAATCATTTGTGTGATTGGTTAGATTGGGTATAAACCGGTAAGTATGGAGTCGTGTAATCTGTAGATTTGTTAATGTACATTGATTTTTCTCCTCTTTCATAGTCCAGTTGCATTGATCTGAGGTCCCCGTTGGAAATCTCAATTTTATGTAGGTTTTCCGACAGTTCCACGTTGTTCATAGAGGAATCACAAGGGGAGGGAAGGGGTGAGGGTTCGAAAGTGATCAGGTGGATTTTCTGATGAAATCTGTATTAGCCGTTATTGCTCTTGAAAACATCGCTGGTTTGGTTTCGATGGTGATTTTCTTCTTTAGCGGGAGTAGTATTGAAGACGTCATTTAGCTCAACTATCGTTTGTTTCGAAAGCGCAAACTCATCTCAGAAGAGCTTTGCAGTGTAAACTAGCTGAAAAAGGTAATTTAGATTGGTACTGTGGTCACCATAAGCGCTTCTCTATCTCCGAATTGGGTTACGAAAAATTTTCTTGATTGCAAGGGTTACCAGTTTAGAAAGGCTTCGTATTTTCAGGCATATTGAACGGGTTTTAGCCGTATTTTTATTCGACCGTAGCATTGTCATCGACTTTAATGAACACGTTGAATGGGGGCATTGGTCTCGGAAGGGGTTGAGCCCGCTATCTCCTTAATGGTGTAGTTGGGTTTAGGCGGGGGGGTTGGATCCATATCGAAACGTCGCTCACCAATCTACCGGGTTTTCTAGCTGGTTGGCTCGGTACTACACTTTGGCGTAAAATCGTCTAGTTCATAGCAGCCTGCGTCTTACACCGTTCATTTGACGGTCTTAATTATCCCGAAAAACTCGACAACTGCTAAATTGATTTCTCTTATTTCAAGTTTTGGGGCTGACTCAGTGCTCGATGTACCATTGATTCTCAATACTTGAAATAAAGGAAAGAAATTCATGCTTTGTCGGATTTCCCTGAGATAAAGCCGTGAAATGAACGATATTGGACGTAAACTGCCATGAGCTAGATGTTTTATGTGAAGGTTCTGTGGCAGATCAACCAGCTAGGAATACTTGTTGATTTGTTTACGACCTTGTGACTCGGATCTCCTGACCCGCCTCCCCTCTATGCCTTCGACGCTTGCCATGGACAATATCTAGGAAAGGAGGGCGGGGGAGCAGCGGGAGGGGGGGGGGCTGACCGGCGGCGTGGTACAGTTGGGCTTCGAAGGATGTTTTTCAAAGTGCTTAACATTTGGGGAGTGCATTAAAAACACAATCTTCTAATTAAATACTTAATCTCCTAATTAATACTTGAAACTTCGAGCTTGCAACCACGCTGCTGAAACTGAACGTCATCCTCAAAGGCGAGGGGTACTATTTGCAGGTGAGTGGTTGTTGCCAGCGCCATTGGTGGAAGGGCTGCGAGAGGGAATTTGGCCACGCCCCACTCAGCTCTTCCACCAGTCGTTGGCGACAACCACCTTCCCCTAGCGGTCGTGACATTGCCTTGAATACATGGTGCTCCTCATAGAAGGGTGGGATACAGTATTGAAAAGTGCAAGAAAGAACGCGAGCAGAAGCTCAGCCTAGTGCTACGGTCTTTTCTCCATGCGTCGTGGTAATACTACTCCAGTCTCCAGTTTCGATTCCTTGAAGCAACAATGTAAGGTATACTACGCGGGTATATACTGTTTTCACGGAATTTTAGTTTAGTGACCACAGCGCTGACTTCCCGACAGTTATGGCTGAACTCTTTGATGATGGTGTGTTAGGGTGCTACGATGGCGCTACCATTTTCGCACCCAAATACGGCGTCATTGGCGAGTGCCAAAAATGAGTTGTAGTTTTTTGTATCCCCTGCTTTTGAATCCTGCTGTGGGCCGCAAATGGTGAATAATGGATCGTTATGAAATGCTCACTTATTGATCGACGACCGGTGCCGCGCTGACGAGCTTACGCGGTATGGCATGATCACGGATCAATAACCTGTTACCAGAGCGATTCCTCTATGAATAAAAGTTGGGAGCAAATTTATGCAGCGATTTTTACTGGTCATTAATAATTCTGTTTTTGTGAACATATGCGATCGCTCAAATATTTCTGCTTACTCGTCAGTGAAGCTCTTTTTGCTTCTTTTTACTTGCTTTTGCTTTTATCTTTTCCAAACAGAGATCATGCTATGTGCAAATCAGTATCGGTTTTGTATTGATTGTTATTGAATTCTTGTTTCAAATTGTTGTTGATTACCATGATTCCCTTTCACAGTATCAAAATACTGCAATATTCACTTCTATTTTGCTGTGATGAATACCAGAAAGTATGAGTCCGGCATATTTTTGTTTGATTTGCATTGTGCACGTGAGGATGTGTGATCACGATCTCTATAATAAAATTGTTAGTGCTAATGTTTTGTTCTTCTGTTTTTGCCAATGTGGTTTGCAGGTGGAAACCTTTTATTCGGCCAATGTTTTTTTTTGTCTTATACGTCCGTCAAAGGCCAAAACGTGGCTCAAAGCTTGAGAATTGCCCGGTATCTCACCAAACGCTGGTTCCCCTGTCATTTCTGACGTGGTTTCATAAGCATGCAAAAATACCCCAAATTGAAAAATAAGCTCACCGTGTTCTACCACAAGAGTGTAGTGAAGAGCGACGCTCGGTTAGTTGTTAGTTAATGAGTGAATGAGTGTTACTCTCCTTTATCAGGACGCAAGTGTTCGCTTATCGTGTATGCAATCCGCATTGTTCCATGGACGGTAGCAGATCATGATGGATGGATACACACTCGTTCCGGTTGTTCATGCCTAGATTTCGTGCTGAAAGCCAAAAAGCTTTCGGTCCTTCTCTAGCTGAAACCTCCGTCACTCGAGTTGGAAATCATCGCCACCATTCTGCTCTGTTCTATGCCCACACGCTATTGCGCCTTTTATCAGATAGATGTTTCTTGATACGGACTGATGAGATCCTTCCTGTTTCCCCAATGTATGTTGAATTACATGTCCTGCATTCAATCTGATAAATGACGTCCGCTGAGGTACAATCGCCAGTTCTGCCATTAGTACATGTAACACTCTCTGGCAGGGACTGCTTGACGTAAAGCCTGCTCCTCACAAGTTGACGTTTGATGTTGTCATTTGGAATGTTGACCGCGACAACATCATCGCACAACTGTGCTCGAACAATGCATCGTTGGATGGACAGCAGATACCTTGCCAGAGATAATGGCACAGAGGAAACTTAGGCACTATTTACCCTTTACTGCCCCAGTCATCCGAAATCAGGCCAGCTCCTGACCGACTTTTTTCTCCGTGGGCAGATTTTGCTCAAATGTTGTCTCCTGGGGTAGTTTGACCTCCAGAATACGAATATCACATTCGCTCAGCCCAAAACTTTCTGGCGCCCGCGCCACAGGCGCCAATGATTTGGGGTATTTTGGCCCGGGTTTTTTTTTTATTTTTTTTTTTTCTCTCTTTTTTCTTTTTTTTTTTTTTTTTTCTCCATGGTGCTGGGCGCCAGGAGGTTTGGGTTCGAGCGGATTATGACTATATTCGTGTTCAGGGGGTCAAACTACCCCTGGGAGCAAGTTTTCAGCGAATTTGGTTATTTCGAGTATTTTGGCGCCGGCGCCCGTGGCGCGGGCGCCAGGAGGTTTCGGGTTAAGCGGATGCAATATTCGTGTTCAGCGGGTCGAACTACCCCTGGAGCCAAGTTTTCAGCAAATTCTGCCCACGGAGAAAAAAGTCGGTCAGGAACTGGCCCTGATTTCGCGCATGACTTGGAGCCAGTAAAGGGTAAATAGTGCCGAAACTTATTTTGGCGCAAAGTTGCTGCCAATGCGAAATCTACTATTATGATGTAGTACCTTTGGGTCCATTCGCGATTGCTATTTGGAAAGCTAGTTGTAGTGGCTCTCCCTGTTCGGCTGCATCGCTGCACCTACTCGTTGCTTTATACATGTTTCTAATAACAGCACGTTTCACAGCAGAACGGTGTGCAGACGTAGCATGGACGAGAATGTTCTTCGAACTACTTTTTCGATACCACTTCATGTTGATCGTGCCCCTTTGAGCTGCGTGTTAATCTATGGTTTTTTGAACTGTATTATAAATCTATTGTTGCCCATGATTCCCTCACACCTGCACAACACGAAATTCCTTGAACGAATCCGTAACTTAAATCTCGATTGAAGTTGCGTAATGGAGTCATTCGACGTCAATTCACTCCACATCAATGTCCAAAATGAGCAGCTTTACAAGCGCTATCCGAAATGTTGGATAGGCATGGTGAGAACATCGAGTCTTTGGACTTGGCAAAGTGTGCATAATGACTCTCGTCAAGGAATGTTTTAGTTGTGAAATCTTCAGTGGTCAGGTTCCTTCTATTCTCGAATTCGGGAGGCTAGTTGTAGTGACTCGTGCAGTCCACAATCGGTGAAGAACAAGCAAGCTCCGCGCCACGTCCAGCCCTAATGAAATGCCGCAGCGAATAAGTGTCTCGTGGCTCTGCGAGTACTCACAAAGTGGGTTGAAAAAAGCGTGTTCCGTGAAGGTCTAACCTTTACGGAACACGTAATCTTAAGCTCTAGGGGCTTGCATGAAGCCGTTGTATGCTCGCACACTGGACCCATCAGGAACACCCTGCAGTAATCAGAGGCCAAAGGGTCTGGAAAATGTTTTGGGCCTCTCAGAACACTCTTCGAAGAGTTGAAGGGCTTTCTTTCTAAACCAGCAAGAAATGTTTCTACGTTTACTTCCACTGTACTGCATTGCTTCTGGATGTTCTTTCAGTTTACTTTCATTTTCCCCCTATTTCCCAGGCATTGTGTAGCATCTTTCGGGAAATTTCCCAATAGCTCTGTTTGAATTGATTTAATTTGGTCTTTTTACTCTTCATTGCCGATGGTGCGTTGCTAGTGCACAAAAGAATAAATCAAATTGAACACAATTTGGAAATGAAATCGCTGTTGCGATATCTGGTAGTTTGCAATTATTTTAGTCCGATCGGAGCGAGTTTGTCACG